CACTGGGGGCAGGCTGGGCATCTCAGTTAGGATCGAAGGGAAGGTGGGGCGCCTGTACCGGGTCTCCCGCTCTGTCCTCTCACCCGCAGGAGTTACAAAGTTTGCAAAGTCCCGGCGGCACTCTGAGCCAGGGAAGCGAGTGGGCTCTCTGGGGCTCAAGGCCAATCCGGGATTGCGGCGGGTCAGGGGTCGCAGCCACGGGCTTGGCTTTCCCTTGCGCCCCCAGTCCTGCTCGGGCCCCCCACCTCAAGGCTGTTCCATTAAAAACCGAGTGCGTCACGGGAAGGGGGGCGGTGTGACGCTAGCGAGGGAGAGTGGAGTCTGTCCCGGACTGTTTCCCTGGGGGGTGGGGGGCTGGGGAAAGATGCGCCAGGAAAGGGCGGTAGTCAGAGGGGGGAGGGAGAATAAGGGGAAGGAAAAGAGTGGGAGCAGGCGGAGGGGGAGAGTGGGAGAAGCAGGCGCCTGGGTCTCAGGGTGGATTATTTGTCGGCCTTAAGTCCCAAATTGATGTCCATTAGCGGGACACGAAAGTGAGGAGCTGTTAATGCCGACTATGGATCGATCCACGTCATTAGGGATTAAGGGCTGGAATCTATCACCCGGTGGTGGGGGAGCTGGATGTATGAAAAGAAAAGATGCAGCTAGGAAGAGATACACCTGGTCCGTCTTTTCCCCAGCCCCTCCCCCTAGGCTCAGGTGGGAATTTTAAACTGCTCCTCCCATCCCCCAAGGAAAGTCTAGATCGGAGGCTCCGGCCGAGGAGGCCCCGAGGGAATCTGGAGGGGGCGCTGCAGGGAACCGGAGAGTGAAGGGCATCCCGGGACAGGCTGGAGTCCATGTTTGAGGGTCGAGTGGGAAAGGGGGCTCTGGCCTTGGTGACCCCAGGCCTCAGCATCTCCTCTCTGCGTAACAGGTTCCTCCTTTGGGCCCAGCGGCCGGCGCGGCCGCCAGACCTACACGCGCTACCAGACCCTGGAGCTGGAGAAGGAGTTTCATTACAACCGCTACCTGACGCGGCGGCGGCGCATCGAGATCGCGCACGCCCTGTGCCTGACCGAGCGGCAGATCAAGATCTGGTTCCAGAACCGGCGCATGAAGTGGAAAAAGGAGAGCAAACTGCTCAGCGCGTCTCAGCTCAGTGCAGAGGAGGAAGAAGAAAAACCGGCGGAATGAAGGCGCTGGGAAGGGAGGGGGCGCGAAGGGAGAGGCCTGTGGGAGAGCCGAGGGCATCCGAGAGCTCCAGAAGGCTCTGCGGGCGGGGGAGCCTGGGGACCTGCCCTCCAGCACGGGACGCACGGGGCCCGGGGCCTTCCTGGTCGCCCCCGCCCGCAGAGCTCTGGCCGGTGCCGGAAGGCTGCGCTGCCTGGGCCCGCCCCGCACTCCTCGTGCCCTCTCCACGCCCGCGGAACCCGCCGCAGCCAGATCAGGCTCCCCCCGTGAGACTGAGGACCAGACCCACTCGCTGTTTCCTGGAAGCAAAGCAAAACACTCTTGTCCGTGTCGCATCTCATTTCGTCCATGTTCCCCGTGCACGGTTCAATGGTAGCTTCACAGTCCCCTCCGCGGGGGGCCTTGAAGACTCCCTGACCCCAGACCTCTGGCCCACCACCCCCCTCCCCAAAGCCACTGGAAGGAGCACATACTACCTAGAAGTAAGAAGAGGAGCCTGAGAAGAAAACAAAGTTCTATTTTATTAATTTTCTATGTGTTGTGTTTGTAGTCTTGTCTTAGCTCTGGACGTGAAATACTTCGGTAATAATATTAATATTATTAATAATGATGATAATAATAAAGACGTAAAAACTCACGGCTCGGTCACCTGTGCTCCTCCCTGCCACTCCCCCACCCCCACCGCCACCCTGAGGTCCCTGTGCGGGGGAAACTCCCAAGCAAAGGCTGGAGCCTGGTGGGCCCCAGTGGGCCTGACTTGACTTGGAAGTTACAGTTGAGATAAAGGCTGGAGCCGACCCTCGCAGTCTCCAGCGCTGCGCCTGGCCGGTGCTGAGGCTCCGAATGGCCTCTCTAGGTGCAGACCTGGGGGACACAGAAGGGCCGTTTCCCTTGTATTTTCTAGCTTTCCCTCGTTTGTCTGTGGCAGGAGGGGCACCATCGAGGCCCCCTAGCCTGAACCCCCGTAGAGAGAGCCAGGAGGGTCTCCAGTCTTTGGTCTCTCGCTTTTCGGTGTTCCTGCTTGCAGGGGCCGTGGCCTTTGGCCTGCCCACATGGCCTGATCTCTGCTGGCCTTGGCCCTCGGCTCCTGGCTTGTGGCTCCAGAGACCAAATGAGGGTCGCACAGGGTATCTCCTCGCCTGCAGCTGAAAGCTCCAGGCGCCTTTTCCTGCCTCAAGTAGGAGTTCAGTGACAAGTAGGGGAATGCGAAGCCATCGGCAGGCGCCGGTGGAAGGGCAGACTTTCTCCTTCCTTGGAGACCTGAGGGCAGGAGGCCAGGTTATGGGGCAGTTTGGTCTCATCCAATCTACCAGAAACGACCCATTCTCTCCCACCCCCACCCGCGCCCAGGCGGCAAGCTGCGGGCGTTGTTTTCCCCTCTTCCTTCTTCCTTTCTCTCTCTTTTTTTATTTTTAAAGAAAATAGCCGCTCGGCAGAAGGGGCCCAGCTGCAGCGGTCTCTGGCCGCCCAGCGCGCTCAGCAAGGTGCCGCC